GGTATGTGGAAAGGCTGACCACTCTTCTCAGGGGCTGTCTCTTATACACATCTAGATGTGTATAAGAGACAGATGGAGGGCTATATGCGCGTGGATTCCGATCCTTTCTTTCCCCATGCAACTCGAAGGGGGGTAAAAAAAAAAAAACAAGGTCACTCTGCTTGACCGACGACTGTGTACCTCTTCTCCGAAGAGTGCCATGTACTCCTATTTTGTATTAAAAAAGAAAAAGAAAAAAAAGCAATTGCGGATAACGGGAATCGGACCCATATTCCTATCAGTTGCTGAGACGATCGTATATGTTTTTTTTTTTTTTTTTTTTGGTCGATCTAATTCGAGCGAGATTCGTTTCACATAATTGCGGCGTGATTATCATTGCTATGTGTCTTGCGTTTTGGTCAGCTGTGCAGTGTGCACTCAGTCTCGCTGATGCTGTTTTTTTTCTCACATCATGTGGAAGCTAAGGGGGGAGGGAAAGAAAAACGAGGTCGTAATCTGAGAGAGGCAAAAGGAAAAAAAAAAGAAAAGGAAAAGAAAACGAAAAGGAAAAGGAAAAGGAAAAGGAAAAGGAAATCAGTTTAATATATCTGATCCGTGGTCCATCGGGCCACATGATATTAAATTATTTTCCCTGGGCCAAAAGAAAAAAGGGAAAAAAAAGAAAAAGGAAAAACTACGAAAAAGAAAAAGATAAAGAAAAAGAAAAAGAAAAAGAACGAGGAGAAGGAGATGGTGGCAATCCGGCAGGGATGAGATGAGATTCGCTAAGATTCGGTGAGATGAGAAATAGTGGCAATCTGGCAGAGGAATAAAATAAAAGAAAAAGAAAAAGAAAAAGAAAAAGGTGGCAATCCGGCAGGAAAGAAAAAGAAAAAAGAAAAAAATGTCGTAATCTGATAGGGATCGGGAACGAAAGCTCGAGGACCATGCTGAAACTGTTGCGCTTTTTTTTTTTCTTTTTGAAATTTTGCATGTTGTCATGTTCCCTACGCACAACTCCACAAAAAAAGTATGTGTGTAACTGGTTGGTTTTGTGTGTAACTGGTTTTGTTTCGAAAAAAAAAAAGCAAAAAAAAAGCAAAAAAAAG